CCGAGGTGGCTGAACTGTAACGTCTTCGTGTCATTCCCAAATTTATTGGTGCGAGAGATGGATATTGCATCCAGCTAACTGATCCACCACAGCTGAACAGAAGGGTAGGTGGAATAATAGGGGGAACTTCTCTCCTTTTAATTAAAAAGGAATCACAGACTTACTTACAGTAAAAGTGGTATCAGCTGTGCTTTTTGAATGATAAAGACAGTCCCATGCAGCAGGAACTGCTGATCCAGGGCAGCAACCAGCAGCATCTCTACCAATCCCCTCTTCCATTTCCCTTGAAAAGCAGGGCCCCAAGAAGGATGCTACTGGAACAGGGTTTCTAACTATTAAACTATGGGGTGATGGCCGAGACACTGAACTGGGGCCAGGGGTAAACTAAAGGTGAGGAAGACTTCCTGGTGGAGGGGATGAAGGTTTGGGGGGGCGGGTTCTGCCCCTCTCCCCCAGTAAGCAGAGGAGAGGCTTTTCCCTGTGTTTCCTTCTCTTGGGAAGAGGGAGCCCAGTGCCGCCTGGCCCTGCACGCCAGCCCCCAGCATCAGAGGCCTCCCCTCGCCCTGCCCCAGGGCCTCCTGAGCAAACACAGCAGAGCCCTTTGGCTTTCCAGAGAGCCCCTGCTTTAAAGCTGTCCTTGAGAAAAACGAAACGGGGACGATTCATGTTGTAGAATAACCCACAGTGCCAACAGGCCAGTCCTTGCACCTTTAAATCCTTTCTGCGCTCTTCTGGGGCTTTTCCCCTTTGGGGAAAAAAAAAAAAAAAAAAAAAAAAAAAAACTTCTAGTTTCTTTGTCTCTTCAGAATAAATAGCTCAGCTAACAAGGAAACACAAAAACATGCATAAGCCTTGCTACTTAAGCTTATTATGAAGTAGGAAAACAATACTGAAATATATGAATTTTGAAGTTAGAAAACGGGTTGATTTCCAGGTTTCATGATAATAAATGCAAAGTGTCAGATCTACAGCACTCCCTTTCTGTGCATTAAACAGACTGTGTGAGGAAATGCATCCCAACCCCTGCCACCACTCCTACACCGCATGGGCAGAGCTAGTAACTTTGGAGCCAGATCTCAAGTAAAAAGCTGCAGTCTCAGCCATTATAGTAACAGAAATAAAGTATATTTTAATTTTTTTTTACATGCATCTCTGAGCAAGCTTTTTAAAAAGATTTAAAAACAACTCCCCACCCCGTCCTCTCCCAGCAACTTAACTTCCCAGATCCCGTTACAAAACTGTGGGAATGTGCCTAATTATCTAAGGAATTTTCACATGGGCGCCAGCTGGCACGTGGTGCCCAATCCCACCAAGGCTGCCTGTGCTCCTCGTGCAGCTTCGTAAGGCAGCAGCCCCCCACCCATCGCGCCTCGCTCGGATCCTGGTGATGGATTTCCCTCCGCTAACACTTGGCAAGATCCGGCTGCATGAGCCGAGCGAGCGCCCCAACTAGACACGGGAGCATCTAGCAAAAACAAACGTGGTGGGGAAATTAAAAAAAAAAAACAAAAAAACTGTCCTTAAGGTCTAGTCAGAAAAGATACAGTATGAGCAACGGGTTGTCACATTTTTTTTTAAATAGAATTTAAAACTTAGTGCTGTCTATCCTTTAAAATATGCCTTTCAAATGAAGTTACATTATTTCAAAAGATATGCTATTAAATTACAATTCCTACACCTGTTAATAACTAAAACATTTAATCAAATTAACTAAGCTACAGTTCTGCCTACAGTTATGACAATATATAGTGAAAACTGAGTTTGAACTGAACATCAATATATCGCACTTCCATTGTATTACTCCATATTGGACAACAGTTACACATGAAAGAGGGAAAAAAAATCAGCATGCTAGGTGCAGTAAGCATTTAGAAAAGCAAAAATATATATATATTTGTATGTCCAGAAGCAAATGTTCACTCTAGCTATCCTGGGGGAAAAAAAAACTGCTGCGAGGAATGCTATAGTAAAGTTTGGATATCCAGATTTTCGCTGGAATTTATGCTCTACTGTTGAAGTCCTAAGAAATACCTATTTAGGAATATTTCCTGTCTACTTGAGGCTTCTAACTTAGGGGGTCTCAGCTGTACCCTGAAGTTCTTTGGAGAGGCTGAGGAGAGGGAGGTTCCTCTGCAGACAGCTCAGAGCACCCCGAGTGCCACGAACTCCTCGTGGACATACTCGCTCCTCCCTCCGAGTATATAAACAAAGATGCCCAAGCGCCCAAGTTAAATACCTGAAGTGAAGCAGGGCGAAGTACAGCTCATTTAACAGCACAAATCTTTCATTCAAAATCAAGGAAATATTAATGAGGACTTTGCTAACCACAGTTACTTTGCATATAGCTGTCACCTCAAAAAAGTTTTGTCCCGATAACATCATTTTTATGTACCCTACTGACCACCTTGACTGTAGGGAAGATAGGCTGTAGGGTGCCTGAATTTCTTTGTGAAATAAGTCTTAAAAAACACTTCAACCCAGTCCTCCCACAAAAAAAAAAAAAAAAAAAAGAAAATAGGTATAAATCCTTCAGTTTCTTTAGCCACTCTGCAAGACCTTTACAATCATCTTTAGCTTTTCCTACTACATTTGCATCTCCAGTTACCAGATTTACACTTTTTCTACTACTGCATCACAAGTTACACAGGTTGTTTTCAACAACAAATGCTATGCAACAGGGACTTATTTTCTATTTTCACTCCAGTATTACAAGTGTGTGGTCTCCATTCTTGGGGATTAAGGTACTGAATAAAGTGATTATTCTTCTGTGTACCTCCCATGCCATTCTGGTTTCTTGCAGTCCTTACAGGCAGTTAGCTCAGCAGCTCAGTCACGGGAGACAGAATAATCCAACAGTTGTGACCACAAAGCTCTTACTGGGAAAGTACTGTACAATAAGACTGAAGTTTCTTCTGTGCTGGAGCTTTAAATCCCATTTCTCCAGCTCATAACACAATTATATTTACTTTGCCTAGAACAACATTTCCCATAAACATATGGCAAATATACAGGGCTGTCTTCTACAGACTTGACTTTGCAGTATGCTGAGGTGAGAATTTAGAGCACACGGGCTGTTCTGAACTAACTCCTTATGGGGACAGTGAACACTTAACACACACATAACACAGGAATAAGCAAGTACCAAATAAGCTTTACTTCTCTTTCTATTTTGTACTCAAACACGTTCAGATGTTGCAGTAGTTCAGAGGGACAGAGTAGCTAGAGTACTTGACATTCACACCTTAAAAAGGACTTAAAACTTTTAATTTTCTGAAGCTTAGCACACAATAAACTAGGTTCCTTTATTAGGAAGAAACTGATTTTAATGTGCAAGAACACTTTATTTGTAACTCAAATATATCTGGTGCCCTATTGGAAAGATTTGTCAGCTCTAAGTTTGATCAATTAGCAAATTTCTAAAAGTAATTCTCACTTTGTTTTAGGAGTCTCACTACTTTTTCCTCTGCTGCTCGATCTCTTTTTACCCCTGCTCCTGGAGCGAGAAGAACTGCGACTTCTGCTCCTACTGCGTGTTCGACTGTGGCTCCTGCTGCGGCTGCGGCCTCTCCTCCTCCTCCCTCTGCTGCGGGATCTCCTCCGCTCCCGGCTTCTCGACCTGCCAGAGCGGCGCCTTTTCTTGCTTTTGCGGCTGTTCTTTTTCCTCTCGGACTCTCCGTTTCTCCGGTACGAATGTTCAGGGCTAGGGCTGCCCCTCCTCCTCGACCGGCTGTAATAGTCGTCACGATGGCTCGTTCTGCTTCTCCGTTCAGAGTTTTTGGACAACTGATTAGTCCGCTCAGGAGAAGCGCGTATGTCTCTGTTGGCGTCCCATAAATCATTGTGTGGATTTTTGAATACGTGAAGAAAGTTGCAGTGTTTCCCTCGTGGACACTTCTGCCTTTCAAATAAGCCTGCAACAGATTATTAGGGGGTTGTTTTTTTAAACTTTTTTTTTTTTATTAGAATCTATCAATCACAAACAGAGCACAAATGCAATTACGAGCCAGGCCTAATTATTAAATTTTTTTCTTCATTATGTGCCTACTGGAAAGAAAACATGCTGCATTCTGCTTCTTTCAACAGAAAAAACATGCATCCAAGGATCTATTAATTGAATTGATGCAAGGTTATTTTTACAGTAGTTAACTTTTCTAAATACTAACTTTCTAACTCATATTTAAACTAGCTACCAAGGCTTTAGCTTAAAACAATCTTAATAAACAATTTTACTACCTTAATCTTCCTAAGAATGTACGTGTAAAGAATTCAAGCCTGTTAATTACTGCTAAGAACTGCTGATGGTTCAAAAACAGGGTGGTGTGTTTGAAAGAGATGAGTTAGTACTTCCTGTGTGCTATTATATCCCTAGCTGGGATGCACGCTTCCTTCTCCCATCCAAGATACATCCACTAGGATGACTTGGGCACTACGGTGACACGCTATGAATATGTCCTTTCCTTTCTAAATACACACAGGCAAGCATTTACTGAAGCTGAACTGCGCAATGAGGCGGACCTCAAAGCCCCGGGGCGGTCCCCGCTGCGCAGTAGAGCCCGCAGCAGCCCTGCGGGGCCCCGCGCTCCTCAGACTCACCGCAGATCGCAGTCTTCCACCTCGTCACGGGGCAGAACTCGCAGTGAAGCTGTCGCCCCGCGTACCAGCGTCCGCTGAAGAGGGCGAGCGCCGCCTGGCAGTCCTTCTCCCTTCGCACAGAGAGACGGCGCGGGGCGTTATCGCGCGGCGGCCGCTTACCGGCACCGCGCGACCGTCACGGCAGCGGGAACGGATCGCGCCCACGACACGGGCAACGCTCCCGGCTGCGCCCCGGCCTGCGCTCTCAGCCTTGGCCAGGCTGCAGGTACTTACGTCTGGTACTGCACGTAGACGTTTCCTCGCAGGTGAGGCTCGTAGTTGCAACTGACCTAAAGGGAAGGAAACGGTAAGTTAGGGCAAGGGAGACCTATGTACAGCACCCCAGCTCAAGCACGTGCAGTTGATGACCATTCTGATTTAAGACAGCGTAACAGTATGAACATACACAGGATTTCCAGTTCTTCTGATCCCAACGCTTAGTTTTAGTTAAATAAAAGCACTGAAGAAAAGCCCTTCTGGTTTATGCTTGCATGCTGCCAGCATTTTGCTTCCATGAATGCTGGGACCTCTGCTTCATCGAGCCTACAAGACAGCCTGTACTCAGCTGTCTTGTACTTCGGACTGCACCAGCCCTACTGAGCAACAGCCAAATCCTGCCCTGAAAACAATTAACAGCCTCCTCATTAGCCTTTACTCGACATTCATTATGGCTAAAGAGTCTTTAGAGCAGGTCAGCTGTTCAGCACCCCTGCAAGATGAGCGGGGAAAAAAAGTTGGAGTCACAAGCTTTGAATATCCAGTTCTGAAACAGCATTTTTCACAACTGAAGTGTTCCAAGTATATCCAGACCTCCTGGAAAGGCACCATTTTTCTTCTAACCGCTTGTTGCCAGTGGTCAGGGACCCTGAGAGGGGCCAGAAGCCCGTTCTCCATGGCAGAGGCGTGAGAGCAGCCTCTGGTCCCCAGCCCTTTCCCTAATTCTCCTCCAGATGAGGCAGGCTGCTTCCTTCATCACCAAACTCCGATCCACCCGCAGAGCGCTGGGTTAGGCCAGGGCCTCCTGAGCAATAACATGCAATTATACAGTGAAATATTACAGAACAAACAGATGAACTGTGGGATAAGCAACAACCCTGACACAAAAACAAGCAAAAATCACTTGGGCGTGGGCACATTTAGGTGGGAAACCAGCAAAATTGTGTTTTTCCAGAATCTTCCAGTGAGATTCTGTCCAGAAAGAACAAGAGAACTAAAACCACAGGCTACACTGGAAAAGGAAGTCTGTTGAAAGTGAATCCAAATGGCAGCAGAGACTCCACTCAGTCACAGCTGAGAGCCCTGCAGCCAACAGGCCTTTTCTAAGCACCTATAATAAAATGAAAATGCCCATGAAAATCCACTTACAGTTGCACACTTACTTCAGAAGCTGAGAAATGCCACACTAAAAGCTCTTACTTGGTTATTTGCAGACCCAAGTACATGCAGCTTAAAATATATTTACATATTATACCCCAAAGATAATCATCAAACTCAGATCTTCAACGTAGGCAGCTTTTAACCCACACTCCATTGGGAATCTATATGCCACCTTATAGGATGGAACAATATTTGCTATTATTCCATGAGGGGATAATAAAGGGGGAAATACTTTTCCACACGAGTGGCTTTTTCTTACTTGAAAACACTCATCAATAGAACCATTGAAAATTCACTTTTTCTACTTTACTTTCCTCTTGCTTGAAATGCTAATAACAGTTCAATTCCAAGGCAGCTGTCAATAGCAAGCAACAGAAGGAGAAAGGCACTCTGTGCCTCCCGGCGACTTCAGAGCATCGTTGTGGAGGGCAAGCAGAACACAGTGCTGCAGGATATTTTAGGACAGGGTATTTCACTGTTCAAACCACACCTTTTGGGGCAACCTGGGACTGTTATCCATCTCCAAGGTCTCCATTTACAGGTGTATTTTTTATTCCCCATAGAAATCACAGTATAAATGGGAAGATTCAGCAAACCTCTTGCATAAACTCAGGATGGATGAAATTCCTCAACGTTCTTTGCAGAGCATAGCATACCTTTTTCTAGTACAGCCAGTTCAAATTAATTCCTGCTACTGAAATATCCACTACCTTTTCAGTTCATCAACATCTGGGTTTTTTATGCCAGCAGCCCTGAAATTACATTATTCGATATATACTCCACACACATTTCACACCCTCAGCGTTTCATTCCTCAGGCATTGCTTTGAAGGGCACAGCTGCAATAGCAGACAAACCTCTGTATTTTATGAGAGCCCCTAGGCCCTCTGGGGTCAATCACAGGGGACTTGAGGTAAGTGGATTACTGAGCTGCCTGTGTACTCGCAAAGGTGCCTCAGCATCAGCTTTTATAAAAGTCTGGGGGCAGGGGGGCAGAAATTTATCCGAATAAGACACTGTTCCCTGAGGACAGTGAGAGGAGCACAGGTGCCGTAAGAGATGTGCAGTTTGCAGTAAAGACCCCACGTAGTTCTCCACGGTGCACAAAAATGTACCTGCAGCACGCTGCATGGCACTCCAGCTAGGACTGGTAAAACACACCTTACATGGGACTCACCAAAAATTCAACAAGCTGCTACATACCTTGAACTGAACAACCTTCCCCACATTCTGAAACTCGGGGAGCACGTCCTCGTAGAACTCCAGGAACTGCTGGTAGGTCTCCTCGTCGCTGTATTCCAGACTCGCGTCCGTGTCGTAGTCGTCTCTCCGGCACTGCTCCATGCCGAAGGTAAGGAACATTCCTCGGACGAGCAGCGTCTTACTGGAGGTGGGATAGTTATGCTTGCGAGAACACCTGGGTATTTGCAGGAAAGGGAAAAAACAAACAAACAAAAGAAGCATTTTCACTTGACAAAAGCTGCACCTGTTGAAATTGCAAACACTTTCCACTCAGAGTAACAGTTTCACATTACAAAAGATTCACTAGTGAACCAATGACTTACTTCAATTATTAGAATAGGCTTTTCAGAAGCACATTTCCACATAATATAGCAAATTAAATAACTTTTACTGAAATTGTTTAAAAACAATTTTGTGGTGGGAGGTGGCAGGTATAGACCTGAATGAACCTGGATAGACACCAGATGGATTTTCTCTCTCTTTTTTTTTTTTTTTTTTTTTTTAAACATTTTTTAGGAAAAAGTCTGGTCTTAATCTGCATTTTCCTGGCCACCATAAAACTATTATATCTCCTTTATTGTATATCATATTCAGGCTACCTCCCTCACATGCTAAGAAACAATTCTTCCTCCCAACCCTTTAGCTTTGGTAAGAACACAGACGTTAGCCTCCCTGTGTATTTCACTGTGCTCTCTAATCTCAGATTCAAGCGCTTGCCCAAGTGAGTGAGTCACACGCTCTTTAACACACGGTGCTTTTTGTGACAGGATCAGAACAACAGCCAGTCCAGTCCACTCTCTTATCTAGCAGTGGCAAAGCATAGGCAACTGGGGGGAAGTCAGGTCCTGGAACAGGCCGTTACTGCCTAGACTTCAAATAAGAAATTCAAAAAACGACAGAGACAGTAAGACTTTCATTTTAAAAATTGCCTTATTTCAGTGCTTTATATGGATTGTAGAACTCAGAGGATTATATCCAACCAACACTCTGTACACAGAATGATAGAGCAGTGGTGCACAGTGAACATGTTTTGCATGGCAAAATAGTATCCGCCACAAGAAAAAACGATGCAAAAACAAATATTAGTCTGAGTCACTGGGGAAATTAATAAACTCAAACAGCTTTACTTTCCTCAATCAGAGGAAGCCTTGACAAGGTTCAGCTATTACAGGTGCGCAGGGGGTTGGACTAGATGATCTCTAGAGGTCCCTTCCAACCTTAAGGATTCTATGACTCTCTATGACTCTATTGGCAATGCGGGCATGGAATTATCACCGCTTTGCCCGTGTCAGCTCCCACACCGTTCTCCAGTCCTCACCCTTGCTGCTGCTCAGCCCACCAACTCCTGGTCAATGCCAGAGGCATAAGTGGCCACAACAGGAAAGGAGCAGGTATGTAAGGAAGAAAGACAGTGTAGGGGAGGGAGTTGAAATGGGCTAGCAGCTACAGGCAAGAAGAACAGGGCAGAACATCTTTCTCAGTGTTAATCTGCTAAGCCTGCTCACAGTTCTGCACAACTTTTTGAAGTAAAACTGATTTTTTTATCCAATTTATGATTAAGTCAAGGTTATCTAAATTAAATAGTATGAAAACCGAAACACTACAAAGACAACAAAGAGTTAAACACTGAAAGTTGGATGGCCAAAACAGTCTGCAGTGAAATAGCTGACCTAAGTTTTGTTTAAGAATTTAGCCCCTATTTCAGAATACAAGCCAGACATAGATTTGAAGTTTCCACAGAGTTAAATTATCACATAATTATCCATAATGTAGACCACTCTAAAACAAATTACCTTTAGGATAAAGAATACTAAAATAGATGGACCACACAATTTCAGCAATAGAAGTCAATAAAAATGGCCTTATTAGGTAAACTTTCAGCATAAAATAGTAAGTATTTCAGTCTTTCCCTGTTCATGTAATGTTCCTCCTTACCACAAAAATTCAGGCACTATGTAGCATCTGGCTTGATTTGGGTTATCATCTCTAATGGTCACTGATGAACTACATCAACCTGTTTGTACTTTTGGCCTTCACCACATCCTGTGGCAACAGGATGTGCCGCAAGTTTTGCAAGTACGTTGCATGTAAGCACTTTCTTTTAAGCTGCTAAAAGCTCAGGGACAGCTAATTAAACTGTTTTGCAAAAAAAGTAATTCTTCTCCCATCCTATTCATAGGCTCAATATTCTTCCAGCACATCCATCCTCCACCATGTCTTCCAACGTGAAGAGCCAAGACTAGTCAGTCACTCCTCCTACAGAAGCTGTTCCTCAGCTCTGATCATCTTGTTTTCCCTCTCTGCTCTCACCTGCTACTCTCCTTCCTGTTTGAGATAGGACAGCCAAAACACTATCCAAGATTCAGGAATGAGCACATCCCAGACTTACACAGCACACAAAAGAACTCAAAGTTAAACGACACCTCTCAACGGTGCAGCTAATGTGCTCTGGTCAGTGTGTGTGTGTGTGTGTGTGTGTGTGCATATGTATGTATGTTTGTGTGTAAAATAGGGGAGGAACTCTTAAATGATAAAAAATGCCGTAAATGCAAATCAGTCAAAACAAAAACTGTCATCATCTGACCAGCTCACCACATCAGTTCCTTCAGGCCTGCAATACCAGCAGAAATCACACACATTCAGTCAGAAAGTATCTGTGCATTTCCCTGAGCTGAATTAAAGTCCGTTTGACCTATACAACCAGAATTTATTCTCAATATACCATAACAATAGACACGTCCAGTCAGGTGATGGGTTTGCACTCAGTGTCTAGTTCCAGAATGGATATCCCATCCAAAAATATGGTAGTAATTTATAAAGCAATATTTCTTCAGTTTGCATACAACCTAATGGAGTTGCCTCCCATTCATTCCTCAAAAACATTTTCATGCTAGTAAATATTCAATTGATTACCTGTCTCCAAATCGGCAGGAACCAGTTTTAATATAGAATGGGCAATTTGCTCTGTCCTTCTCTGTTCCTATGTTCTCTGGGGGCTCTGGGTTATGCCAGGTAATACCATTTTCCAGCTGCAAAAAAAGCCACAGGCATTAAAACACAAACAAAGAAATGTAATGTCAAAGTAAAAATATCAGTTAAATCCCCACGAGCACTCCACTTAAACCTATCTAAGCACTGCTTTATAAAGCTACCCCATGTCTCCTGTCTTTGGTGATGAAAACCTTTTCTTAACGGTTGCTCAGTATTAAGAACAAGTCCACATTCATAATTTGTCCAAACTGAATATTTTCTTTCACTGAAGAAAAAAAAATTAACCAACATGATATTATTTGTTCCTTAATCAACAAATTCATTTGTTCTCTGTGAAAATTACAAGGATTTTTCATTCATTCAAGTTTGTTAGTTACTTCACTCTAGCAGTCACCTATGAGTCCACATGGCAGCTGGAAGGCTGAGACTACTTCTTAACTGCCTTTAGAACAGCTCAAAAGCTCAGCAAAGTTATTGCTAACACTTTTAATGAAAATAGGAAAGGCTAAGAAAAAAAAAAGAGTAACCTGCTGAAGGCCTGAATTAAAACAACAAGAAAATAAATCCATAGTTAGCATTGTGGTTAATATCCTCCATGTTGCTTATCTAAGGCCATTAGATTATGATTTCTGAAATCCAATTTGTGATTAAGTTGCAAATATCAGCTGACCACAAAACAAAGCAAAAAACCAAACAGCTAAAGTCTGAACACAGACTTTAAAAAGGACCTTTCATTTTGATTAACCAAAGACTTTGTAAAGCTCATCTGTCTAAGCTCTCTTCTAAATCAACTGAAAAAATGTGTTTATGTGCAGTGAGCATTTGAGCCTGCCACCAGGCCCCGTGTTCTTGGCCATACCTTCTTCTCAACAAACCAGCACTGTCACTTGAGCAGCATCAGAAGTGACCACCTGAACCCCTGCGCTTCACATGAAGAACTCTAATGAACTTCACTTGCTCATCATCCCTTGCAGGAAAGGCTAATAATATGTTTTGAGCTCTAGATAATTGATAGTTCAGAGCAGTCTTCTACTCATATTATAGAATAAAACAACTGTTTAACTATGATTTGGATCTCAACATAATTCCAATGTAGTTAGTAACAAACAATTGGAAACTAGGGTAAAATGTGATTTTCAGATTCATGCAGTAGTCTAAGCACAAAAAAAATACAAAAATGTAACCATATGACAACGATTTTAAAGTCAGGATGTTCTTTAAGGAAAAAGACTAATTCAACCTCTCTAAGAGTAAAAGCACCCAAACAGCGCACAGGCTCCTTCTCCCTTTACTTTCTCAACAAAAAAAACCAACCAACCAACAACAAAGCTGTGCCTTCCTCTGCTGCTACTTTGATACATATCCTGCCATCTGCTTAAGCAGCAAGCCGTCTTGCCACCCAGAAGGAGTAGCAGATTTATTTAGCATTCTGCCTCACTAGCATACCATCATGTAGTGTTTTTAAACAGCATACAGAACAGAGTTTCCAGATTCATTTAGACTCAGATCACCTGAGCAGCAATAAGCATGTACAACTACACAGTTACCAAACAGTCTCAAAAATGCTTATGCTACACACCATAAACACATTACTTACAGCTAATGCAAAACACCACATACTAAGTTTACTCAAGCCATTAAGTTCTTCAGACCAGATGGACAACATGCTAGGACACAAACACCAGGTAGAAACTAAATCATTTCTTTATTATTATTATTATTGGAAAACTCTCTGAACATACCTGGCTTTCAGCTTGATCCAGCATCTTCTGCACTGCTGCCTATAAATGGTGCAAACACAGGACTAGTGAAAACCCTGAGGACACGCAAAACATCTGGTTTCTTTAGTTAAGAACCTAATTTACAAAACTGATTACATGTAATGAAAGTTTGATGAGTTTTGCTTTAAAAAACAGAAGTTTTACTTTTGCTCTGTAGTCGCTCACACACTACAAGGCTGTTAAAGGATACATCTGAAAACTTTCATGTTGATGACTTTTTTAATTCTAAATGCCATAGAACTTAAAGTGGCATTTTCTCTCTTTTTTCAAACTACTTTTGGTTTAACTACTCAATACTTAAACGTACCTTTGCACTAGTACTCTGTTTCGTTACTGTTAAATGCACAACCATTTAGTTGTGCCAAACTTCTCAGAACATTTTGTAACACAAAACCCGTTGCTTATTGAGCTTCTGCTAAAGTAAAATCAGTAACTGTTTGAAAATGCTATCAGAGACCTGGTAAATTTTACTTCATCTAGTCTTGCAAACACAGAAAGAAGGTGAGAGGACATGGAGTCCCTTCCCTCCTTTAAATGATGTGAGCAAAGCAATAAGTCAAATTTTCCAGAACTAACTTGAAACCAATTCTAGTAAATTTATTCTAGGAAGTCCCAAAAATAAAGACATTTATACAAAAGCAACACAGGAACGTATACTAGCATTATACTATTTTGAAAGATAATTAATTAACAAAGACGACAACAAGTAGGAAAAAAAAATGCAATTCAAGATGAGTACCCAGACAGCATCTGGTGTTAATCATCATGTACCTCAGATACTACCCATGCTGTTTAAAAAAAAAAAAAAAAAAAAAGAGAGAAAATGTTTGTCTGTATTACGGAGGAAAAAGAAAAAGAGACCTTAGAAACTAATAAGATCAGAATTTTAACAGGATGCTGCTGTTTCATGAGACAGGCCAAATCAATCTAACAATTCCTGGCTGCTGAAACAGGTGGCTCCACACCCAGCTGTACACTCCCACAGCCTGCTTGGTGCTTGAGCCCTCCATGGGCCAATTCAGCCCACCAAATCAGTAAGATAGTCATTGAAGAGGGAAAAAAAAAGCAAACAACAACAAAAACACAGAAAGCAGCTTCCACAAATTCAGGGAATCAATTAACCCACTGAAGGATCAGACAAATCCTGAGAAAAGGAGAAGGAAGGAATAAAATCCTGCTGTTACTGTGGCTCAGTTCTCACCACATCTCAGCCTTAAAAGATGCAAACGTTTTCTCTCCCTACTCTGCAAACAGAGAAAGGAATACTTGACACGTGAGGAAGTAGGACAGGAAATACAAAAACTGCTCTTCTCCCTCATTCATCATGGGAGTGTTATGCAACTAGTGACACTATCAACTACTCAAAGCAGGAGAGAATACTCTTCGCTCATTTCTTTTCTCCTGCTGTGACTAGAGCCAGGAAAACAGTGAATCCAGCCAGCATTTTTAGCATGACACCTCTAACAGCACTGGCTAGAACCTTTCATTTTTTGCAGCTGCACAGAAGCTAATGAGAGAGAGATCCTAGCAAGCTGCAAGCCCTGTTACTGATGGCAGGTCAGTCCTCACTTTGGATTTTTGTATAGCGCATTTCATATCCCAGTAATTCAAACTCTAAAATCTAGGAAGAATCCACAGTTAACAGAAATTTCAACAATAACTAATATCTTCAGTCAAATTTTCTTTCCCACCCAAGGAGCTCTGAAAAAAAAAAGATACGTCCTGTTGGATGAGTCAGGTAAAGAAGAGCTGCAATATATCTTTTGATTAAGAACTACGTTAAGGAACAGCAGAAGTGTAACGCCATATTCCATATCCTCATCAGGAATTTTCTTCAACATTGACTGTGTTCACATAAGAAACATTATAAGCATTATCTTTAACACAAAATGCAAAAAGGGCACATATCAGATGCATTGGCAGCACACCTTTGTGTTTTCCTGATGTAAAAAACTACAGAGAAAACGAGCAACCAGATGCATTAAAATTAGTTACTCTTCTAGCTGTGTGAATTCACTAGATCTACTTCAAGGAAGTATTTTTTTCAGCAATTTAGACAGAAAGGAAAGAGGAAGTAACTAATGCATTTATGCATTCACTGTATAGAACAAAATGCTTCCTCAGCATGCATAGACTGTTGCATCTGATAATGCGAGAGGATATGTAACATGTTTATCCTCCCACTCTAGGAATCACCTCTCTTTCTCTCTTCTGCTGTTGCTTCTGCTGTGCCACTTCTCTCGCTTTTCGTTGCTCTTCTTCCCATTCTTCTTTGATCTTTCTCTTTAGGACAAAAAAGTAGAAAACAAATGAATGCTTTATAATCACTACAGCCAAGTTCAAAACTATCATGTTGTATTACTCTTTGATCATTGAGTTTTCATTCGCTTATAAGCAAACGAACTGCTAGAAAATTCTTAGTTTTATTCCTCTAAAAGGGAAAAAAAAAAAAAAAAAGTGAGTTTATGTTTCCAAGCATAGCAGACCTAGTTTTCTTGACATTGATAAGGAGAAGATATGACACTAAATTGCCCCGATTGCCAGTCAACTATAATTCTCATTCTATACATCACCTCTTCTTCTTCCTGACGTTTTCTCGCAGCCTCTTCTTTTTCTTTCTTAAGTTTGAACTCTTCTTGGGCCTTTTCTTCTCTTAGCAACCACTGCTCATGTAGTTTTTGTCTGTCAACAGAACCAGATACCGCTTAGGGAAATCTTAATGACTCTCCATAATCTGTGCAATTGTGCATGTACTTTCATGTGATAAGCCAAACGAACAAAACACACAATTCAAATTTTGTAGTTCAGCATTAACTGCAGCTTATCTAATATAAATTAGGATTTTCTATTGGAAATATTAAGGCTTTGTAAAAAGCTGTATAAATTCTATTTTACACAGCATGCTGCTACTTTTTAATTTACTATAATCGATTTAACTAGAAGCTGAATAGATTTTAGTTTCTAGATTTTTGACCTTTCTGCCTCAAGTTTTTTCTCTTCTTCCTCTTCTTCCTCCTCCTCTTCCAGCTCATCCTCTTCCTCCTCAGACATTGATTCATCTTTTTCTGTAGCTTCTGAGGACGGAAAAAAAATAAAAATAAAAATAAAGATTGAAACACTGCATCTAATTGATTGAACATTTCACAAAATGATGTCCTGTTAGAACAAAACCAAAAGTTTAACTGACAATACAAAATGCAATAAAAAGGGCTTACCTGAATCTCTGAGTTTAGCAAGTGCCTGACGCTTTTTTTTCCGTTTCTCCTTCTTCAGGATAGCTCTGTATTTTTGATGGCTGAAGATGACAATTTTTTATGTTACAGGAGCCAAAGAATTGTATTGCCATAAAAGTACTCAATTACATCAACAATATAAAATGCACAAACAGCAAAATTTACAAATATCCATATAAAACTGCAACTCTACAGGAATATTTAACATTTCTGTAAACTTGCGCCTAGGCTATTAAAGCTGCATGTTGCCAGCAGCAGCTGGCCTAGGCTTCTGAAGCTTCGTCACTACATGAGACCAGCAAAAAGCTGAAGATCTCCTTATCCTGAAGCTTTGGCATCCCGCTCTCTCTGTGATTCCAGTCAATGTCTCTTCCACAGGGTATGGAATTTGAAAAGTCATAAAAACTTGGTATCTTGATGCCCTCCACATTCTCTACGGACAGGAGCCTTAAGGCGCACAGATACCAAGAACACACATACCAGGCACCACGGGTAATTCCCAGATCTCAGATTTCTCCACGACTGAATCTCTGCTGGTTCATCCTCGCTTGCCCAACAACGCCCCAAGGCCGCTTACACGCAGCCCGAAGCCTTCGCTAGAGCTGGAAACTCTCAAGGCAGCCCAACGCCTCTTCATAACAACCCGCTTTCTGTCACTTTTCATTCTAGCCTTCCTTTCCCTCCCCAGCTTGTAACAGGAGGGCGGGAGCCCCTTCCCCTCAAGCAGCGACACCAAAGCCTCGCTCTTTACGGGCTCGGGGGGCTCCGCAGCGCCGGCCCAGGCGGCCGGGGCCCCCCGGCGGCTCCGCGGCCCGCTC